GGTCTGGTGTACACGATTTGCCACGTTTTTGGAATTATATTTGTGTATTTATATTTGTGTATCACATGTCCTTTGGCGAACCTTGATGACATTATTTGGATGGTGCTTTCACAAATGTTTAATAATGTTACAAATGTCTAATTTCTCTGCGCAGAAATAACAATGGAAACGTGTATCCATGACTGAGAGCAAAAGAATCCTCATGTCATCACAGTATATCCTTTCGTTGTAATATATGTAATAGTGACCTACAATAGAGGAAAAAGGAACGCATCAAAATTCGATAGCTGCAACTACAAAGACAGTTTTCTGTGAGAAGAAACCAACAACCCGTACAGTGATGAAGCAACTACCATCGATGCGTACAGTTATTGTTTCTGTGAATAACGTAGTGTGTATGCATTGACAGAAGCTAAAATCTTGACAAAGCGGCTACATAACCTCATTTTGTCTGTAAACCTTAATTCCTTAAGTCGATTGGCTTCTCAACGAATCATATGCCCTAGGACATTAATTGCTGATTCCAGGTATGCAAACTACGCAATTATCGTTATTTGTTAGGGGTGGTCAGCTTTTGGTCTGTCTGGTGTTTTCTCTAACGTTGCTTCTGGTCAGTTAATGTAACATGGGCCCATCCCAACATTAACGATGTAGGATTACAACATGTAAGGACCCACTAACTCTGTTTGCTTTTCATTCCTGGCATTTGTGGGGTGTTTGTTCTGTCAGTGTGAGTGTCTCACATGTCGACCAAACCTTCATATACCCTGACGGCACGAATTTTTTCAGCTTACCAAGTGCCATATCTTTTTCACATTTTATACAAAAGAAAAACAAAACATGTTGTGGACGTGTTTCACTTTCTGCATGGAGCATCGTTTAACTGGACGAAGTGTTTAGCATCGATTTATGTGAACATGTGTTTTTAATGTTTTACAATTTCCTTTTTACGTGGACTGATCCACAATCTGCTTCAGAAACGAAACTTACGTCCTCAAGCAATTTATCAAAGCCACATTTGTCAACATGCCAAAGACTAGTAGGCAAGAATGTAGATTGGATCGGACATTTTCCTTCAAGATGTCACACACTTGAATACTTGCTTAGGAAGTAGATAAGATGTCTCGTTTGTCCAACTAATGCATGTAAGAAAACAACAAAAGCAGGAACGTTTTGTCTGTACTGGTATTTTCCAAAGAATATTAGATTTTTTGCTTTCAATCAACATCATTGATCTTCTGATTAACGATGACTTATTCTCTACACAGGAATAGTTCACATAGTTTGAAACACACTACGTTCACAGAAACCTTTGATTTCCGGATACATTGCTACAGGTACAAAACATATTTTTAACAGTTGAATTTCAAAGTGTGCACGTGAAAAACTTGAATGAAGGCAGAACTGGTAATTGTCTGGGAGTCAGATGTTAGTGAGCAGGTAGCTTAGGCTAACAGTGTACGGGCAGATCATTTGTCTTAAATCCTTGCACATCAAATTTCTTTGGTGCACATAGATGTGTGGACTAGGGTGTTTAGCAGATCAGATTCGGAGGGTGAGGGTAGCTCAAAGTTTTAAGAATGTGCAGGTAGCTGCGGACTTTAAGGGGTTTAAAGTTAAGTTGTCCAAGGTGCAGGTAGCTCCTTGGTCTAAGATGAGGATAGCTCAATGATTATAAGCACATGTAGAAAAGAGTAGTTAAGTTGTAAGAGGTGTGGCAATCCATGTATATTGGGGGGACGGCTCCCTAGGCTGAGGGAGCCTTGTATACTCACTACGGGAAGGTGCAGACAAGACTGTTCAGTGGTCTAAGGTATCGGTAACTGGGTGGTTTCAGGTGCGCCGATTCCAAAGGGAAGTTGACCTGGTGAGAGCGTAAATTGGCCCTGTATATCGCTGCCTTAATAATGGAAGGGAACATCGGGATGATGTCAAGCTGAAGGAATGTTAGTGGAAGAGACATTGTTGGATTTCAAGAGGTGATGCAGCATTCGGTATACCCAAATCAATCACGGTTATCAGTTAACATAGGACACTAAATCTTGTCAGAAGTTTTTAAAAAATACAAGAAAGAAGAAATTCTTCTGTCAGTGTGAAAAAAAGACAATAATTCAGTCCCTTGTTTTCATACCTTGTTATGGCAGCATCCAATTACAAGAAATGTCACGTGAATTCCTTTGGCTGTTTAAATTCACCCTCTGACTGGCACTTTCCAAATACTGATGGTAGCAGTTGCTGTGTTCACTGAGCACCTTGTGGTAATCTCTGGACGCTAGATTCAGTTGGCGTGTCGGATTTGTGGTAGTGATTTCAGGATATCATTGCCTGTAGTATTCTGTGGTCCACATTGTTTTCTCCGGACATTGGTGTCAACAGCTTTGTGCTCACTGTCGGCCTGAGCGTGAGCATTAAACCTCGTGGTAGTTGTTCAACAACACTGTTTGTAGCAGTGTATTCTTCAGTGATCTCTGAAAGATGATACCACGCTATTTGAGGGACTGCAGGAAACTACTGAAATTAACACTTATTCTGATGGGGATGTTTGCAAAATCAAGCTTGAAGCAGTGTGAACCAGAGACGACTGTCATCTTCAGGAATGTTGGCGTCAAATTATGCCAGCTAAAATGTATTGAACATGGTCAGTGTTTGAGTTTTGAATATGACATTGAAACTTTAACCTGTCGTTTGTTGAGAGATGACTCAAAGAAGATTAAGAAGAAGGAAGGCTATACACGTCTTTCAAAGAATTCTTCAGATGTGAGTAAAACCGACTCGAACCCTTTCAATATGAATATTTCTTGAATACTAACGAACAGGGTGGTTACGTTTGGCAAGTTAATTGTCCTTAATATTCTCAAATATGCAAATAACTGATGGACATTTTCTGTTCTCCCATATTGGAGTGTCCAAGTTAATCTAACTTTTACAGCTCACTGCCCTCTAAAACAGCATTCTCAATTTTCTGACGTCCTCAGTTTGCGAGCCGTATTATAAAACTGTTATGTCGTGAAAAATATCGCATCGTTCTCCATCATTCTTTGCGTTTTATTTCGTAGCTATCTTATATCATTCTTTTACTGCATTTATTCCTTTATATAAGCCCGTTTGATTCAGTAAGAAATAACTCAGGTGCGAGATACAGTAAGAAAATATAGTTGCGGGCAACGATGAGGTCTCCTTGGCTTTACTTTCTATCTATTGTATCTGAGGCTAGATATCATCGTCCAAAACAGAGCCAGAACACATGTTTTGACAGGCGAGCGGATCTTCCAAATGCAGCCGGGGTCACGGGGGTCATGTACCTTTTAAGTTGTTCCGGAGAAGAAATAGTTCCCTCTTTAAAAGGCTGTATCTCAGTTGCTCTTGGGTCTACGTTCAAAACAATTAGTGTTCTGGAATCACCAGGACATCATCTACCCTACTGGCACATTTGAGCACATTTTGGGAGCAAACTACTCAGAAAAACTGAAAACAAAAATAAATGCCAAACGGCACGTTTTGGCGACTTGACCCGTCCAGGCAAAATTGTTGGGTATTCAATTGTGCATCTGTACAAGAAATTTGGAAGTGTGGGAACAAGTAGTTCTTGAGATGTTTGCTGTCAAACGTTGAAATTTTGGAATTAATTTTGAATTATCGCCCTTTTGCTATTGGGCCAAAAGCCTAGAGAATTCTAAGGGGAATATCTACACCTCCGTGCGCATCTGTGTGATTTTTTGTAAGTGTTTCGGAGCATTGGTTTAGGAATTATGTTTGGTACAAAAATCGGCGGAATAATAAATAATAATAATAATAATCCGAACGACTACAATAGGCTCCTGCCTAGAGGCAAGGAGCCCTAATAACTCTGATGCGAGATACAGTCTTTTTATGCCTATTCTATATTTACACTCTCCTGTTTGAAGATTGTCAGTGGTTCCTGTCCCCCCAAGACGTGTACTGTTGGGCAACGGTGTTTGAAGACTCGATCTGGACACGCTGTCTGTGTACAAGGTAACGACTTGCCTTTTCAGCACTTGCTATTATGCATGGGCCACTACAAGGGCCATCTACAATCTATAATTACGTACGCCACTGAAGTAATACTCTCAGTACATGTCCGAAATTCTATGATACAAGTTCCCGTTTGCTATTGAAAGTCTTTACTGTTTCTCGAAGTGAAGCGAGAGAGAAAGGTGCTTTTGACAGAATAAGTCGTAACGCTCGTAAATATCATTTCACGTGTACTTTAAGATGCATAATTAGAAACCACATTCCAACTTTTCTTTATTCAATCATTTCTGCTGTCCCCTGCCGTGATATTGCTGGAATATTGCTAAATTCGGCATAAAACTAAACCCACTCACTCACTCCTATATTCTATCCTGTGAGCTGACGTAATGATGAACCGTGAAAATCAGGTTTGAAGAAATCTGATGTAAGTGCATCTTGAAGCTCCATATAGTTTCCTTTCATCTTGGCCCGTGAAGATCCAGGGTAGAATTGGTCTTGCTTAAGAGGCGATTAGTGTCGTAAAAGGCGAATAATTGGAACAGGTGTTCAGGCTCGTTGACATGCTTGACATACTTGAGACTTGTCATCGTATCCCAATTGCAAAGATAGGTGCTCGTGCTGTTGATCACTGGATTGTCTGGTTGGCCTGCAAATGTTTTTGGGGTGGAAATCATCCTGCATTAGGAATGAACACAAGGTATCTTGCTCGACAAGGCTCGCTCAATACAATGTTCATTCCAAATACAGGATATTTACAATCCCTAAACACATTCGCGTGCTAACAACTATGAGTATATGTTTGTATTATTTTAGCGAGTCTTATATTATCGAGTCACTGAACAATATAAAGCAATCCATACAATTACCAATGCTGCCACATTAAGGACAGGCCGTAACATTTCAAGTTTGTATCTTCCATCTGTAATTAGTATTCTGTTTCTAGATACATTTTGCAATAAATGATGCTAACATAGTTCTGTCATTGTATCATCATAACGCATCAACAGATGGGAAGCAGACCTGCACTGAAAGACCTCCACAACATGATGATGAAAAGGAGGAATCATTTACTAACAGCTCACTTCTCGACGCCTGTAAGAAGGAACCTGATCCGAGTGAGACACATCCTGTCCCGGGGTTTGGACGACGTTAACAGAAGAGACAAGAGAAATACAACACCACTCATGATGGCAGCAAAGGAGGGGCACAGAAGAATAGTTGAGTTTCTGCTGAGTAAAGGGGCTATTATGTCACTAGTTGATAATAACGGCGACAACGTTCTGCACTCGGCTTGCAGAGGGGGACATGTGGATATGGTGAGGTATGTACTCTCACAACACAGTGTTGATATTAACAGTAGAAGCAAGTCCGGAAAATCGCCCCTGATGACGACCGTATATAATGGACATAGAGAAGTAGTTGATGTTCTTGTGGGTATGGGGGCTAATGTGTCACGAGTGGATGATGATGGCGACAACGTTCTGCACTATGCCTGCAGAGGGGGGCATGTAGGTATGGTGAAGCATCTACTCTCAAAATACAGTATTGATATTAACAGTAGAGGCAAGTCCGGAAAATCTCCCCTGATGTCGACCGTATATTATGGACACATAGAACTATTTAATGTTCTTGTGGGTATGGGGGCTAATGTGTCACAAGTGGATGATGATGGAGACAACGTTCTGCACTATGCCTGCAGAGGGGGGCATGTAGGTATGGTGAAGCATCTACTCTCAAAATACAGTATTGATATTAACAGTAGAGGCAAGTCCGGAAAATCTCCCCTGATGTCGACCGTATATTATGGACACATAGAACTATTTAATGTTCTTGTGGGTATGGGGGCTAATGTGTCACAAGTGGATGATGATGGAGACAACGTTCTGCACTGGGCCTGCAGAGGGGGGCATGTAGGTATGGTGAAGCATCTACTCTTAAAATACAGTGTTGATATTAACAATAGGGGACGGTTTGGAAGAACTCCCCTGATGACGACTGGCTATTCTGGATCGATAGACTTGTTTACATACCTCGTTAGTTCAGGAGCTAATGTGTCAGACGTCGATGATAAAGGAGACACCATACTCCATCGTGCATCAGTTGGAGGACATGCAAAGATGATTCAGCACATCATATCACAGGACATCGTGGACATTAACAGTAGAGGAAGATACGGAAGGACACCATTGATGAGAGCGGTATATTATGGAAAGAGGGAAGCATTTGATGTACTTGTGAGTAGCGGGTGCCTAACTGACTTAGTGGAGGACCAGGGTCACACCATCCTTCATCTGGCCTGTTTAGGTGGACGTGTGGAGATGGTGAAGTATATCCTCTCACGGAACATGACCAACATTAACGCCAGGAACAAGGATGGGGACACAGCAGCCACGATAGCAAAGCGTGAAGGGCAACATGCATGCTATCACTGTCTTGTTTCACGTACCTGTTGAGCGAAATAGTGAACAATAAAGAGTGAACCATTTCCTTTCTGAAACTATTTGTGGTTGCCACATGTATATTGTACGCCTCCGTCTGTATTAACAGAATTAAAGAATCTGTGTTTATATTTGTTGTGGCCTTTCCTCAAGCCTGATGATGTTTGACGGTTAGCGACTTTATCTTTGTAGAATTTATAATGATTCCGTTATGACCATCGTGTTATGAGTCTTGGAGTGAGCGATTGAACTAGTGCGTTAATATTTATATTCATATGGACAGTATTTCAGCCATATCGTGACTGAAACATGTCATACATTAACAGAAGAATTAACAACTCAATAAAGTACAGTCAAGGAACTAGAATATACACATTTGAAACTAATAACTATGCAGTGAAATATGAATATCAGCAACATTACAATTTGTAGATAGAAAAAAACAAAGGAGACGAAGGACACCACACTGGGAACCATGCGGACTTAATGCGTTTCTACTACCTGCATGGTACTCCAGCTGGATTTACACCATCTCTCTGGCTTCAGAGACGATTGTCAGAGAATTAAGCATTCAGCAAAAACAGTTTAGTGAGTGAGTGAGTGAGTGAATCAATAGTCCCATCCTCAATAATTTATTAATATCGGTTCTAAAACAGGTCACGCATTGATGTAAATAAAAATTGTTTGTTGACAAAGGTAATAAAGAAACCAGATTGTCACAGATAGAGATTTAAAACAAGCATGTCACTTTAAAATTATACCACTATTCAGGGCAATTCAATGTGAAACAAGGCTATAGATCGCCAATAATTGTAGGTAAATCATCATACTAGGGACCATGGGGACTTACAGTACTTTTGCTACTCTGCATTTCAAGCTGGATTTACATCATACCTTCAGGTGTTGGCGATTTTGTAAAATTTTGTCATGAATATAACGAAAATCTATTTAACGATTACAAATGTGGTTGGATTAAATGGGCACCCGTGAAGAAAGAGACACCTCCTCGTGGTGGGTGCTGGGTAACGCTGAGAGCTCTTCAAACCCCCACCCCACCGTGTTGACCCGGGGCATATTTGGTACACAGAACCCCATTGTTGGTCGTAAGACTGAATTGGGCAACCGGTTTGCCGTGGGTTTGTGCCCCTGTGTCGGTGGAGGACGGGGAGTGTGGTTGTCGAGGGCACTGTAACCAGGACCAGGTGTTCATGTTGCCCAACACACCACTTCGCCCTTACTTCACCAAGACGGGTGGTTGAATGGGCCCAGTACAATCAATCGGCTGGTCCCGCCAGGCCCTGTGCATAGTGAATATTATTGCACATATATATGATATAATATTTTGGTCTTGGCAATTCTAAATTCTGGCTTTACTGACCTCTGGTTTCTAATTTTCTTCAGAAAAATGTCATTAGCGGAACCGGACTTTTATGCTGATTGGCCGTATTAGCTACCTACAAGAAAAATGGTGATTTCCAATTTTGAAATATCATATTTCCAAAAATTGCAAAGATGATATTTCAAGGCTTGGAATTCTTTTTAATTTAGGAAGGATTTTACCACTACTTCTTTCAATTTCTCCTTTACCTTTACTCCTTAACCCAAGGATCCCCACGGGAGACTTAACTATTTCACGCATCTTTTGTTCTGTTAGAGTTCTTATTGTTGATATACATAATGCATCATGACATATTTATTCATTAGGACTGCAGTGATAAGCATATGTTGATATTATCCATTCGTGCTTATATTAATATAACTGCATCTGACGCGCGAAGAGATACATAGTTGAAAGTTTGGATCATGTTTAAAGTGTTTAAGTGTTTTCTATTCGCCGTCTTATGCGATGGTTGAAACATATTTTTATTTCAAAGAAATCTGGATTGGTAAAAAAGCAAAACTTGCTTATTTAAATGCCTCCCCAGGTAACGCTGGTTAGTACAAGTGTACGTTATACAAAATAGTGCTAAGAATAATATACAGTTGCACAAACGGAGTATATAAAGTCAGGAAAAGTGCGATAATGCAGTTATTATTTATTTTATTATTATTGGATATTTATATAGCGCACATATCCTCGCACTGGTGCATGTTCAAGGCGCTGACATTTTTTCCGTCGATCATTGGATGGCAATCTCAACGGCACATCTTATTATCAATCACAACTCCCTGGGGAGTATACGACTCTTGCAGCCACTATCATTTCTAAGCGCGCACACACACCGACTTCAAATATGGCTTTGTATAAGACACAAAAATAAGCACAATATGGATTTTTTCTTTCCTTGAACAACAATCAAAAACATTGAAATAAACAAAGATATAATTGAAGAGAGTGGACTTCTCAAATCGAGAAACAAAATATCCGACAAAAACACTCAGGCATATGAGATCAACTAGGAACCAATTCTATATTTTAGTATAACCTCATCTGCATCCTTCTTGTTCTAAGTGTCAAAAATTGATATTGACTGTTATATTTGCCCTAGTATGGCTAGCATTTTCCAAAATACCGTTTTAAGTGCATGTTTTACTTGTTATCCACAGAAGAACAAATAATTTTTTCCTGTCACTGTTTGTATGAACACGAATTACATAGATTACATAAAGTTTACCGGACCCACTGACTGACTAGACAGGGTTTATAACATGTCATAAAGTGAACCCTTGCCGAGGGAATAATAACTTTAAAATGCATTCTCTAATTGGTACCCTCTACTTAACACCTGCCACAAGGGATGGGCCGTTTGGGTTTGTGGTCAGAGACGGTGTTATGCAATTGATGTATTCACGAAATATGAACTTGTAAATAGACAATTGGTTATATTGTCCACATATATGAATCCCTTCTTAAATAGATCACAGTGTAACTAATTAATTTGGTCATTAACAAAAAAGGTGACTAAATGTTTAATGCATAATTCATTTTAGATCACGTATAAATAATTTCTAGTACACAATCAGTACACAATTTAAGTTCACATCACAGATAATTCCAGAGACAAACAGTTTATGAGATTCTAGTTTATGAAAAGCATTAAATTCCCAAATTTGCAAGCCAATCTGATCTCTAAATACCCAGGAATTATTACCACTTATATGACAATAGTTTGAGAAGGTGTCGGCTCAGGAAGTCGACCTTTCGATTTTTATAAGGCTCAGGACGTCGACAAGCGGAACGCTTTGAAGTTTAGGTGGTATTTTTTAGCACATGGCTAATCTCATGTGGCGTGTTATTACAAGGTTGGTGGTCGATGGAAGTGAACACATCGCACACAGAAGCCGACCGTGTCAAAACATGATCAAACAATCATAATGATGAACATATTTAACTACATGGGGATATATATAGTCAGTCATGTTTTGACTGCGCTTGGAGCTGGTTGTATTGCACGCCTCGCACCGATCGCCGCCCTATACACACCATCAACAAACCTGGCCCAGCCATATCTAATTCCCTCCACCTCACAGGCCAAAGACACAGAAATTGGAACACTTCACCCCACCGGCCGCCGTGCCGTGCCACCACATCCACCGCCCACCCCCACCCCACTGGCCAGGATAAACCGCAAGTGTTACCCTATGTGACTTTCATCTGTGTAAATACCCATCATAAACTTTAACAAAGCCGAACTGACTTTCATTACTCAGTCAACTCTTGTTTTCTACTACTTCATTTTTGTATATATGTTTCCTCATCATAAGTTGTTTGGATTTTTGTCTGTATATGGTGTATAGATTACCACACCCCTCTGCCTCCCAAACATCGAACATCCCTTCTCCCCGTGCCCCCTCCAACACTACAACATGGCCTCCCTCCCTTCTGTCCGTCACTCTTTTCCACCCCATCAAAAGATTTCCCACCCCTCCAATCGCCACCCCAAATAGACCCCATCCCAATTAACTTTGGCATCGATTTCGACTCCTCCTACCCTCCCAAACAAACTCAGAACCACCCACCAACCAAACCAACATCAAAACCAACCCCCTACCACCCAAAGCATCTACTGTATCAACTAAACGACCACACATCTCACCTACTGAAAGCTCTCAACTAAAGAAGAAACAATGCGCGCAAGCAACTCCATCCCAAGCCAGAAACCAACAAACTCATCCTCTTATCATTCGCCACAAACACCCGCACCTCACTCAACCGCACCTACTCAATAAACAAATTCGCCCTATGCCTCAACATTCAATACAAAATACATCAACAATTGCGGACGGGGCTTCAAAATTACATTCACGGACAAACAAGCACTCATCCACACACTAAACAACACACTCACAGACGGTAAACAAATCAGCTGGCAATACCCACGGTGGCCAACATCCATACAGGGGGTCATTCACATAGATGCAGGGGAATCACACAAAGACATCCAACAATACATAGATATTGCAAACACCATCTCTACTCAACCCAAAGTTACCCAATTCAGATAAATATACAACAGACAACCCACCACCTACAACACTAACACGCAAACAACGTTTCCCACATGCGCCACCACTACGCTCCCCACACACATTACCTTTGGCACACTCACCTACAAGGTCCATCCAATCCAAAAAAATCCACAACAATGTAAATTCTTCTTCTCATTTTCACACAACTCAGACTCATGCAGATTATCCATGCTTTGTACCAAATGTGGGTCGGACAACCACACACTTGATGAATGCACCAACAAAAATACTGCATCCACTGCAGCACACTCGGCCACACTGCTACACAAAATACATGCCCCATCAAACAAAAACACATACTTAAACTAAATAAACACACCGACCTCCCAAAACCAGCACGCACATTACTGTCCTACAACTCCATCCTCTCAGCCACTTCGTCCTCCCCATACACTGGTTCCTCCCCAAACTCATCATCCTACTAACTCCCCTCCCCACAAGCCAAACCCCAAAATCCCGTACAACCCAACCTCCCACCAAAACCCTCGCCCACCACCTACCAAAGCTAAACCCCTCCACCACACCAAATTCGCCCTAAAGCCCCA